CCCCTTGTGAGCACGGAGGCAGAAAGGGATCTTGGAGTCATTATTGACTCCAAGATGAACATGAGCCGCCAATGCCAGACTGCAGCTAGCAAAGCCAACCACACCTTGTCGTGCATCCAAAGATGCATCTCAAGCTGGTCCAGAGAGGTGATACTCCCCCTCTACACGACATTGGTCCGGCCTTAACTGGAGTACTGCATTCAGTTCTGGGCACCGCACTTTAAGAAGGATGTGGCCTGCCTTGAGAGGGTTCAGAGGAGGGCCACCCGCTTGGTTGGAAGGCAACAGGGCAGGCCCTATGCGGAGAGGCTGAGGGACCTGAACCTGTTCAGCCTCAGCAAGCAGAGGCTGAGGAGGGTTTTGGTGGCTGCCTACAAACTCATTAGGGGAGATCAGCAGCAAATAGGAAGAGCCCTATTCTCCCCAGCAGCACCTGGGGTGACAAGGAATGATGGCCAGAGGCTGCTAGAGAATAGGTTCAGGTTAGAGATTAGGAGGCACTATTTCACTGTCAGGGTTGCTAGGATCTGGAACCAACTTCCTAGGGAAGTGGTCCTCGCTCCTACCTTGGGTAAATTCAAAAAGAGGTTGGATGAACACCTGTCTGGGGTCATGTGATCCCAGCGTGTGCTTCAACCAGTGGCAGGGGGTTAGACTAGATGATCTATTCAGGGCCCTTCTGACCCCTAACTACTATGAAACTATGAAATATCTGGCAGTGATGGGACAATAATTAAATGCATACAAGAAGGTTACACCAAATGAAATACACATATATACAGATAACCCACGCAATGAGTTCAGATATAAAGCAGCTTACAGTCCTTTACAGTACAACACTAAGGACACAGGGTTACAACAGGAATCCCAGCAGCATCAGGAACAGCAGCGGGCGGGGCTGGGGCACAGAGGCTGTGCCCAGAGAAGAAATAGCAACCCAGGGAAAGATCCCGATACTTAAGCGAACATCATTACCCTCTCCCAGGTCACTCAACTAGGAGCTCCTCAGGGGCTTCCCATTGATCATGGCAGTAAGGAAGTCCCCTCCAGCTCTCCGGCCCTGTGCACTGATCTGTGCATCACGGGACCTCTGCTGCTTGTAGAGTTGGGGACCCAAGCTACCTCGTGCAGTCCTGAAGTCCCATCAGCTCTCCAGCCCTGTGCACCAATCCATGCACTGAGGGCTCCTGCCTCATGCAGGGTTGGGGACCCATGCTACCTCATGCAGCCACCGAGGTCCCGTCTGCCTCCAGATCCTCCATGCACCGACCTGTGCACCATTGCCGTGGCTCCCTCCGCAGCAGGGCAGGGATGCAGCCACTTGCTGCTCCCCACTCAACGGAGGCATCTTCAGGGCACTTCTGGGGCCACTGCTCTGCCCCACTGGTCAGCTCCACCAGCTCTTCTCAAGCCCCGTCTTTGTCATTCCTTATCAAAGCTGCCCATGTGCT